GACGGAGTAAGCGTAGCAGAAATTACGAGGCAATGGTGTAGCCCAGTGGTAGCGCGCTCGCTTGGCAAAATAAGTGAAATGGATTCGAATCCCAGGTCTCGCATTGCTAATATAGTCTTATAGTGAAAGAAAACATCAACCTGCATGTCTGAGTAAAGCAGCTAACCTACCAAGTTTTCGAAAGACATGTGAAGTTTACCAACTCGCACTTGGCCATCGCGGTGGACTATGGCCTTATCATATTAAAAGGAGGATTGTGCTCAGCATTCGGACGTTAAAAAGGACTGAATATAATTTACAAGCGTCGTATATTCTTCGCTTACAGGGATCGAACCCTCCACCTCTTTGGTAGTAGGCAAAGCCATTAAGACATATTTACATTACTAGGAAAATGGTGTATTTACCAACATGAACATGATTAATAATAATGTATTCATTATAACCTGTATTTACCTAAGGATTGTGGAGTTGGCAAACCGCCTTTGGGACGTTTAAGTTTGTGTATTTTATAGTTAATTTACACTATTTCCCTTACAGGAGAGACAGAGAGAGACACATAGTAATATCCTCTGTCTTCCCTTAATTTAATGAAAATGAGATTCATTATATTGTCTTTGTTTTAACAAATCGAAGTTAAGCTAAGCTAAGCTTTTTGTTCGGTTATACTGCGATAACTACTGAACCGATAGAAATAATACTCATACCATAAGATGCAGCGTGTTTCGTAGAAGGGTTTAATATATGATATGTTGGTGATTCATGTACTATGCAGGCGGAGCCGCAGGAAAACGCTCGTGATTGTATATATTAATGACTTCAACATACATATAATATATGTTTAGTAAAGTGTTTTTTAGAATAAATAAAACAAAAACATAGTAATTGTATAACTATTTTATTTCTTTACTAATCAGCGAAATGGTCCGCGCTTAACAAAAACCATTATGAAATAAATATCAAAAGCAAACAATAAAAGTTATTGTTATTTATGGCTTTACTATTATATATCAACGCCTGCTAAGAACAATATTGCAACTCAATATTGAGGTAATTTAAACACGAACATTTGACGTTTTAAATAAAACAATTTATTATTTTTAGTTTTATTTTAATTTTTAACATCCAACGTGTCGAATGCTATACAGCAGTCGTGGTCATGGGATAAACTAAGGTTATATAGTGATTACAGACGACGTGCACCTACTCATTTATTTTACCACATACACATACATTGTTTAATAATTCAAATTAATTAATTGGGGTTGCTATTATTAAAATTTATTTACAATTTTAACATTAAAAATATAATTAATAAACTGATACAATAATAATGAGTTACAATTTTGTTCCTTGCAGTCGCTGAATTGTTATATATTGCTTTATATAAGAAAAGTTTCAATAAGTTATGCAAATGTTGACTAGACGTTGTTTACATCAAAAAGCTGGTTCACACTATGACGATAAAATGTAAAATATTTTTAGTAGAATACTCATCCTCCTACTGTTTTTATAAGAACTCATATGAAATATATTAAAAAAAACTAAAAGCATCCTAAAAATTCAAAGTATGTTATTTATGTCAGTTAAAATAATATAAAATGAATTTTTCGACATGATTACCACTTGTCGTATGGTGAAGGAAAACATCGTGAGAAAACCTGCATGTCTGAGAGAACCTAGCAAGTTTTATAAAGACATGTAAAGTCCGCCAACCCGCACTTGGCCAGCGTGGTGGATTATGGCCTCTCTCTCTCATATTGAAGGGAGGCCTATGCCCAATAGTAGGAAGTCAAAAAGGGCTGAATACTAATATGGTTAGCTTTTGTAAAAAAGTAAAACATCGCAATAGTATGAAATCAGCTTTACGGTTGAAATCTTAAGCTAGTGCCTTGTTAAAAGGTTTTTTACAAAAACAATACCTTATTCTAGATCCATTTTGTCTTATTAAAAATCTCTCCTTTTTAGTTCAGACGTCATAGCGCAGAAGTGAGATACTTCGGTTTGTATACAAATTCTTTTCACAATAAACACATTAAATTACACTTGTTAGTTGTTACGGCAACTAAATTAAAAAAAAACGCGTTTGTGTACTTATGTACGCACGTAAGAATTTATACTCCTTTGGCGTAACAGAACAAAAATAGCTAATGATTTTATCCCGTATGTCACATCTTTCTGTTTGTAAAAGGAATACAGTTAACTCCATCATGTCGCTTTCAGCTGTCGGCGTGCGCGCGCATAGTAAAAATTTTACTCTCATATTTTTCTAAACGTGAAAAAAGAAGTATAACTTCAAAAAAAATAGTTTTTTTAATAACTTTATACAATTAATTATATTAAAAAAAAGATTTAAACATAATATTAAAAAAAAACATTATTACTGAAAAGCTTAGGATGACACTAGAAATATTATTAAAGCTAAAATTTAATATGTGTTTGGTTAATTTTCGTTTATAAATGCCGATACTTCGTTTACAACAAACAAAAGCTCGCCATAGAGGCCTTTGTTCTCGTAATTGAACGTCTGCGGAATGATTTATCTTGGACCTTAAGCACAAAAATACTACTTGCCTCTTTATTTACAAGCTTATTTACCTCAGTCTATACTTATTATTACCTATTTATATAATACTTTATGTAATTTACAATACAGCGATATGTTTAAATTAGTATCTATTCTATATTTAGTTACTCGCAAGCTAAATAGGCTTCTACTATGTTACAGTAACAAAATAATTTATATATTTTTATATCTATTTTTTTTATATTAAAGAAATTATTTTACAATTTTCATTTTTTTTTATTTAACATTTTATTAACTCATAATTGGTTATTTTGAACTTAGTTTTAATTAGATGAGCTAAAGTTTATTTAAAGAGGAAATAAATGTTATAATTCGAGGATGTGTTAAGATTCTATGTACATATTAGCAATATAATTAGAAAATATAGACTAAAAAGAGAATTAAGGCTAATAAGACGTTTATGAAATAATAATTATTAATCTATCTTATTCAATGTTGTACTGATTTCTAACGAATTGCGACATTTATATAATTCAGATAACAGCAGCTGTATATAAGTAAGTTAACTTTAGTTTATATGTACGGTAATAAATAATAATTAAAATTAATTACTAAAGAATAATAACATAAATTTACGGCTAGCTTTTGCCCTCGCCGTCGCGTCGTCTGTATAAAAGTGGGCTATTATATGTCATCCAGGATGTAAGCGATCTCCATCCACTCATGTACGCACTCACAACCTTTTTCATTAAAAATATTAATGACTAGCGACTCACCTGGCTTCGCTCGGCTCTAGTGGCGAGTTCCTAGTCTATATATGTATATACTAAATTTTATCCAAATCTGTCCAGTGTGAGGGAGAAACGAACAAACATACACACACATGCAAAGTTTCGCATTTAAAATAGTAGTCCATTTACGCTGACTACTCGTGGTTAGGATGGAAAAAAACTGGAAAAAGGTTAAAATTGTGTCATTGGTTACTTTCATTTTTCAGTTTTATTTAAATGCTTTTTAATCTTGGTAACCATATAAATACATATATATACATATATATACATATATATACATATATATACATATATATATATATATATATGTATGTATATATATACCATTTTCTTAGAGATAGAATTCATTTTGAAGAAATATTCTAAAGAAACTAATAAGTAACATATAATAATAAGCTTATTAGACAAATGTTTGATAACCTAACAAAGAAAATGTTTCATTTTTCCAGCGAGAAATTTTTATCTTATCCTCTGTTTATAAGTTTGTTGTTTCTTGCAAACTGCAGTGAAACCTAAGCCCACGCGTACTAGGCGTCACTTACCAAGACCACGGGACTTGGACAAGATTTCATTCTACAATAATTTACAAATTTTCAAATTAATATATACTAGTATTCAGACAGTGATCGATATTCCTTCATAATAATTTTTTATTGACATCAATAAAGCTTTTCAAACTAAACATTAAAAAGGAAAATTCGTTGACAAACAGGTGAAAAAAGTCCTATACAGTTTTGTCTTTACTAAAATGTAAACTGCTTCCAAAAAATATTCATTGACAACACGAAAGCTCGTCAATAGCCATTAAATATAAAAAAGAAAGAAAATCGATTGAAAAAAAAATGGAATATAAAAAGGTACTGAAGTATTTTCTATTTGCCTATTTATATGTAGATACATAATTCGTCGAATCATTAAAATGCCATTCCCATATCCAATATATAAAATTCTCGTGTCACAGTGTTTGTAACAAAACTCCTCCGAAACGGCTTGATCGATTCTTGTAAAATTTTGTGTGTATATTCAGTAGGTCTGAGAATAGGACGTAAACTATTTTTCATACCCCTAAGTGATAAGGGTGGTCTAACCTAGGGACGAACCCGAGTGGAGCGAGGGTGAGTTGCTAGTATTATATAAGATTTGTATGTTTCAACGATTGTCGAATATAATCTTATTTAGGTCATAGTCGCGATGGCCTTTTCTGATATATTACGAATATAGTTAAGTATGCGTGCTGATATCGTAGTGCGAGATTTGACAATACATACCGTTACTCTTTGTGGACTAGGGTCGCAGTCGCCTAGTGTGCGAACGGAGTAAGAGTAATTTAATCTCTAAATGATATAAAAACACAATTAATATGTATTTTATAGAACATTTAACCTTTATTTAAAATAAACTTAAATAAATAACCAAATAGACTAAATTATAATTTGTTATTATTTAAGCTATAATTTGAAATAACTTCGGTATAGCAAAAAATATTATTTTCACAGGTACGTGAAGATATAAATATTAGGTTTAATAATTCAAAAATCATTTACACACGAGTTTCAAAGGCTCATTTGCATATAGATATAGTATTTACGTAAAGACTGAGTATAGACCTAATACAGACAGTTTTTGTTTTATAATACTGAAAATTGATAACAAGCTATAATTATAATATCTGAAGGCGATTCTTAGGATATTAAGTTTATTATGATAATTAGAGAAAATAACGATCGGTAACAAAAGCGATGCTTCAAGACTCCCTTGTTGTAGTCCTGTAATCTGAAATCTGAAATTATTTCTTAATTAGCCACTTTTGTATTGAATCTAAAACATTTTTCTTGCTGTTGTTATTTTATTAAAATTTTAAAAATGTATTTTCTTTTATGTTAAAAGAAAATTGCAATGTTATTTAATGAAAACAACCCTTTACAATTAGTATGTTTCCTTATTTTATAAAGAATTTCATTGTTCCACTATGAAATATATTCATATATAAGCCACTAATGTATATAAATACATTAAATTATATTTTAGATTATCTATGTGAGTTAAGATGTGAGAGCTTCATATCATTAGTTTACTATTGACTGACCTTGTGTACCAAATAGCGTAGTTTCAGAAGGTTTTCCCGCTACTATATTAAGCTTTTGGATAGCTGAAAAGAAAATTAATATAAACATACTTCATATTTTGTTAAAAAATATTATTCTTTCGCTTATATTAGATATAACTAGATTACACACCGTTTCTATTTTCCATCGGTGCTTGCATAGCTGTAAAAATATAATAATAATCACTCACTTAATTGAGCTTGTTTTTATAATATGTAAATATTACCAAAATGCTAAAACCAAATATTACCAAAGTGATGATATATTATTTGCAAATGATTTCTATTTTAATTATTAACTTTTGAATTTTAAATGGATACTTAGAATCTCATCTAATCTCAATGTGTCTCTCCAGCAAAGTAAAATCTACAAGAACTACCAAAAAGTTATTATATTATTTTATTTACTTTATTATATATTTATTATTATATTAGAAAAAATAGACAATAAATCGTAACTTTTCACTGTATTTTTTATTAAATTGACTTACGGTATAATTTTATAGTGCCTTCAGTGTCTCCCAAGGAATTCTTCGAGACACACTTGTACGTGCCGTAGTCTGCGTTCGTTACTTTTCGTATAGGGAGTCGCAGCTTAGAACGATATGAGCCAGCAACTTTTTGTGGTTCTAAACCGCTTCCTATCAAAACAAGATACATAATACATATATAAATGAACAGTACGATATTTAGTTCCTCTACTGGTCTCGGCTCTCCCTTCAATTCCCGCCTGATGATGGGGATCAGACCATAGTCCACCATACTGGCCAGGTGGGGCTTGACGGACTTCACGTACATATCTTTCAAAAACTTGCTAGCTTCTCTCAGACAAGCAGGTTTCCTCGCGATGTTTTCCTTCGCCATAAAGCAAGTGGTAATCATGTTGAAAATGATTTGCACATGAGAATATAAGAGGTACGAGGTCTGGGATTCGAACCCACTATAGTACAGTTAGATATTATGAACTTAAATATATTAAAACTTTAAGCTGTGTTGAAATGAAAAAACGATTAACATGACAACTAATTAATTATACTCCTAAAGACATAAACCCTTGCATTGGTCTCATCAAAATTTTATTTAATATACTTATCAGAGAAAAACCTTTTCTGATTTAAACTGTGTCATTAAAATAATTGATTGCATTTCCATTCAGAGGCTTGATCGCATTAAGTTTTATATGAGCTTTCTCTTGTAAATTGTTTAATTGTTTTCATTAACATTAGTAGCTGCAGATTTTTTTGAAAACTTAACTAAGATACCAAAATAGTTTTACTAAATGATATAAATATGTTGGGACATTAAGACACAGCACCATCTAGTTCTATTGTAAACTACGAGGCTTGTGTTATGGATACCAGATAGTTGAGACACATATGTAACTTTAAATACATACATATACATATACAATATAAACATTCTTGACTGGAGTACAAACATTCATTACACAAATGAATGCCTCCAGCGGGATTCGAACCCGCGACCGCTGACACAGCAAGTAGGGTTACTACAAACTGAGCCAAACGTGTCGTCAGAAATGAAATATAGTTTCATAAACCTTATTTTATCAATTCAAATAAAATGAGAAAATTAGAATCTTAAAATATTTTATAGTTACAACTTATTTAAGTGTCAAATCTAAATAATATAAAACCTGGGTTAGGTTTTATATAATTAAATCTTTATATTTTATAGGTGGCACGACCTTTTATGCTCACGTCAATCAATTAATGTTTCTAGTTAGGTGACCTAACATGCTTTGCCTTTGATTAGGACCAGAGGTCAGATGACAATCAAGCTGAATGAAAACTAGTGACCTGTTATATAGGTTAAATTAATAAACTTGAAGGTGCTAAGAAGCGTAGCTGATATTAAAATGGAATTTATCACAGAATAGTTCCGCTATGACTTAATAAGACAGTCAATGTACGAGTATATAATGTACATTGTACATGGCAAAATATTTTGATTATAATATACATATATATATATATATATATATATATATATATATATATATATATAGGGGAATGAGGGGGGGAACCGGATAGGGGGTGAAAACAGATAGTTCCTATTTCATTGCTCCACGTACAGCTGTCTCATTTTAGCTAGTGGAGAAATACGCGCGAACGCTTACTCAGTGCGGTTGCAAATCGCGGCGACGGTATCATCTCGGCGCGTGAGTCTTTATAACGAAATTTAAAAACAAGGGTAAGTTATCTAATATTTAATTTTTTTTAAAGTGTTATCATTAAACTTAGCTGTGTGCTATCATATACAGTTGTATTTTTAAGAAGTAATACATATTTAACCTTTTAAAACGGTATTGGTTGTTGCTGTGAGTGTAAACATAACCTGTTAGTTATTACAATTTCAAACATGGTACTTGTGGGGTACAAGCGGACGGGGTGAGTTCGACTACCCGGTTTCACCCCGATCGATTTTATATGTAGGTAGGTATTGTGGGTGTTTGTTTTAAATCCTTTTTTTAATTACTATTTATTTTTTACAGAGCGCGAGCGTCAACATGCCACGAACATATGTGAAAAAGTCAGATAATTTATATTACAGATTTAATAGAGCTGTAGTGTCATCATTTTTTAATGTTTTAGATACCATTTACGCTAAGCACGCTTTCAATCCCACGAAAATTTATTACATGGACGAGACTGGATTGACCTCTGTACTACAATACAATCTTAAAAAATCGACTTCCAGGCACTAAAATGTAAAAAATAACTAAACGATGGATTTCATTAAGAATAGATACCTAATCAGATATTTTCGAATCGGTAGAAAGACGAATAAAAAACTATCAGGAGGATTTGGAGTATTTGGTTTGAGGAGAAAAGTACAGTCAATCTAAGTCCTCAAATGAATGGTACCAATGCACTGCTTGACTTAAATGGGCTCATGAAGTTGCATCGGTTGTTCTGAGCAAGAATTAATATTTTTTGTATGCAAAAACTGCGAATAATTTGAATATTTCGTTTTATTGTTAGTATCTGTATTCACCCCTAGAATATAAAATACCTATCCGGTTTGACCCATAGGTATGGGGTGAATTCGGATTTATAATTTTTAATTAAAATTGTTCTATTTTATAGTTATTAACATTGATCTCAAACATTTTCATACCAAAGTTATGCCTAAGATATACTTAAACGTTTATAATATTGATTATCTCTATAAATAACATAGTGATTTATTTATTGTGTCTTCTTCTTAACTATCCGGTGTCCCCCCACCTTCCCCTATATATATATATATATTAAGGTCTGTCCCCAGATAAAATTTAATAAATTAACATAAATTATAGAAATATTATTGATTATTCTTAAATTACATAAGATGATAACGTGTTCACTTAGTACACCACAGTGAAACGAATTCATAGCTGTAAAGCGTCGGTGAATTTTTTGTAGTTACTCCAATGAGGGTGGCATGTTCAATGTATGAACAAACCCTCTTTAAAAATAGAGATAAAATAGTGGAGCGAATTCATCCCCCGGGTGTCACATTTCTGATATTTTCATATACGAATCATTGTACCTAACAACGTGATTATCACTCACCGTACGATGAAGCTAAAAGCAGTGGCGATAAAAAAGGCTGTATTGTTTATTATTTACATATGAAAATAACATCTTATTTCAAATGTTAGTTATTACCTATAACTTGGCCTTCTGAAATATTGATCATAGTAATTCAACGAAAACATATCGAAGATTCGTGTTCCTTTCACGTTTTATATCCAATAAATAAGTGATTCAATTAACTTTATACATATTACGTTATTTATTATAAAGTTTTAACATCTAAAATATATAAAATTCTTATTGTATGCTTTTTAGCACACTTATTATAATAGCTTCTTCCGTAACTACGTTTGTAAGAAAGGTAATTTTTTACCAACTTCTAACTGTCGTATTGAAATGAAACTTTGTATGTATATTTGGTTCAGATGACACTAAAATTTGGTATCTTGAAGCTGATATGATGATGAAACCACGAGTGGATAGCACAATTCTTCAATGTTTTTTTTAAATCGCTCGTGGTTGGGCTCATTTGGTTTGTTTTAACATTTCTGATACATTAAAGTTCGACAAAAGCTTGTTTTTTAGTTTTTTAAAACTATTATTTAGACCTGAAAAATTTAAGACTTTAGAAATTTAAACTAGGTATTTATAAATCCTTACCTATAGGAACAATTTCATTATCTCTACTCCAGTAACTGACTGGCTTAGGATAGGCTTCAGTTTCACACTCCAGTACTAAATCTGAGCCAAGCGACGCGCCAACAAGCTGGTTCTTTATCACAATTACTGGTGGAACTGGCAAGGAAGGAAAAATGTTAATTAACAAATTATTTATCCATAAAGAATGACCACTTGGCATTATACCAACCTGGAAAATGAAGGTCGTAAATTCAATTCTTACTGAGTCAATTTAACATTATATTATGTCACAAATTATGTATTTGTTGAATTCAAAAAAAAAATATAATGGAATACTTTATTTTTTTCGATACATAAGATCTAAGAATTTGAAACTTTGCATATTAAATAGTAATTAATTTTGTAAGAATAATTGTGTGTATTAATTTACATAGCAATGAAGTAACATTAGTATGAAATCAGATTTTTTATGCAACCATATTTTACTTTATATCCCGTCTTTATTTCCTGGAATAAAAAATAATAATGTGACTGTAGAAAATGCAAGCTATTCAGTATTAAATTGCATCAAGAAAAAAATCGTGGTTCAGAAATACGATTGTGAAGACATAAAAACTAGACATTTAATGTTTAGAATTTATATAATGACTATTTAACTAAATTTTTTGAGGTATAATCATCTTTAACCTCATCTTTGAGCTAAAAATCGTATCATTTAAAAAAGATATTGTGTTACATAAACAAATAAAAATAGATACTTCTGAACTAACTAGCTTAGGAACGTCATTCGTATATATCTCGGAAACAAAATATATATATATATATATATATATATATATATGTGTGTATATATATATATATCTTTATGTTCACGCAGTTTCTATTGCAATATAAGTAAACATAAATTAAAACATTCAAGTACACATTATACACACTTCACGTGTAAAACGTACAATTATATATACTTTTAATAAAATTCTAACTGATTTGAATCTGTACATTAAATATTTTTTTTGAAAATCTTATTGAAATAGTCATTATTATCACTACAGAGGCCGAACCTGTAGTTTTAGAATTTTTGTTTGTTTGTCTGTCTGTCTGGGAACGCATCACGAGAAAACCACTGGACAGATTTTGATGAAATTTGGTATTATAATACCTGGTTATCCAGGTCAACATATAGGATATTTTTTACTGTAGGAAAATATTTCATCTCTGAGAAATCTATACTAACCGTTAAAACGTACCAATGGACGAACCCGAGCGGAGCAAGCGTGAGTCGCTAGCATAAAGACAAGATCTCTGAAATTAATGCTATTTTATTTGAATCCGATTCTTTTGTTCTGCGGATGCTATTTCAATAAAAAATAATTCGACGTAGGTACGTACCTATATAGTTTTTAATTTAAAAATAAGATAAAAGCTAAAAACTATTAATTCTGCTAAGTAATTTAAGCTATTTCTTTACGGGTTTGAGGTGTTTTCTTTCAAACCAAAACATTCAATTTTAGCATTAGACTTTGATAAATTAATACAACGTCCGTCAGCAGAACTCGTGCCTACCTAATTTGAATCCTATAATATGTAATATCAAAATCGATATTTCAATAAGCATAGTAAATGTTTTTTTATCTATACATATAATAAAATTCTAACTGAGTCCAATCTGTACATTAAATATTTTTTTGGAAAATCTTATTGAAATACACATTATTATCGATGCAGAGGCCGAACCTAGTTTCTATAATTTTTGTCTGTCTGTCTGGGACCGAATCATAGAAATACCACTAGAGGGATTTTAAAGAAATTTGATATGGTAATAGCTGGTTATCCAGCTCAACATATAGGGAAAATCACTGCCATTATTTAACAACCATGGGATGCGCAATGAAATTATTATATGTACGTAAGAGTATACTAATATGTAAAACCTAAGAATTTGGTTTTTGGTCATCTAAACGTGGGCGGAGCCGCGGGCAATTCTAGTTATATAATAAGCAGGTATATTTTTAAAAGGAAATATAAAATATGATCGCTTCCAATACTCACATTCAACTGTGATCATAATTCGTTTGCTGACAGTCGGCGGGACTCCATTCGACGCGATGCACAAATACGCACCTGCGTGCTGACGACTAACTCGACTTATATTCAGTACCGGTCCTTCCAGGGAAGATACTGAAATATGTTCTTTATATTAAATCTCTATATCTACATTTAAGCTAATCGTTATCTATACATATATTTAAATTGTAACTAAGCCGAATCTGCACCTACATTAAATATTTTTTGGAAAATCTAATTGAAATAGACATTATTATCGATACAGAGTCCGAATCTATAGTTTTTAGAATTTTTGTCTGTCTGCCTGTCTGTCTGTTACCGCATCACGAGAAAACCACTGGACAGATTTTGATGAAATTTGGTACGATGATAGCTGGTTATCCGGGTCAACATATAGAATACTTTTTACCGCGGGAAAAGATACAAAAATTACAATGTAAGAGTATACTAATGTGTAAAACATAAGGATTTGGTTTTTGGTCATCTGAACTCCGGCGGAGCTGCGGGCAATACTAGTTTCATAATGTATAAGCTATGCTATTAAATAATTTACAAAACAAATACAGCTTATTCAATATGAAATTATATGTTTTATATTTACGATAAAAAGTATTATATAAAAATATATCGTATAAAAACCAATGTGTGTATATACGCTCCCTATGGATACCAAAACGGCTGGAGCGATTTTGATGAAATCAGACAACCTTTAGATTATCCCAGCGAGTGATCCTGTCAAGTTTGGTAGTGATCGGGAATTTGAACGCGGGCGAAGCCGCGGGTACTATTAGTCACTAATAAACATGTAAATATTTGTTTAGTTGCTATTAAAATATATGAGTATACCTAATAGCAATTAACACATGTTTCACTTACGATGATGTGTTATTATATGTAAGTTAAAGCCAGGGTTGATAATTTTCAATTCAGCCTTTAATTTATATTATTCTATGGCTGTATTACTTTCTATTTACAATTATATAATTCCTAAGTTGTTATTTTAAAAAATAATCAAAATATTGAATTATTTAAGAGAAATAATGAAAAATTATAAACTATTTATATATGTACTCTATAATTATTATTAGGGACAATTGTTTTTATATTTTTAAACTAAATATAGTATAAAAACAAAAAATAGTATATAAAATTGAAATACAATAGTAACAGCCCTAATCATAGGCACAAGTAACAACTAAAAACCAAGGTATCTTTTCCCTACAAGCTTACCGCAATATTTGTACGGCTTCTACATTCTTACCTTGTATGCCGTCAGAAATTGTAATGGGCTTAGAGTGTTCCCTTCGCCACGTGATCTGCGGATGTGGGGAGCCGGTGGCCGCACACGTCAGACTTATTGACGAACCTTCCCGTACGGTTTGATCGGCACTTGTACCGCGGTCTAGGATGTCCGGCGGTACTAACAAAAATGACGTATGTGAATGATTTGATTAATGATTTTTAATTTATATTGTACATAGGGTATAAAAATATTTACTATGACACTCTAGATATGGAGTTCATTATTAAAATTTGTATGGGACCATTGAGGTATAAATTGAAAATATTGAATATAAAAAAAAATCAATTGGCTATTTATTTCCAACTTAATATTATAACATACAAAAAAGTTCTCTTTTTTTGAAGTCAGTTAAAACCTATTAAATGTACATAATAATATGAATAATTAACTTTGTTCATAAAGTTACAAATTATTGTAATCGACTTATATTATATTGTACTCACATAATACATATTGTGTATTATTTAATCATAATTTAATTAACTTTTCACCGAATTTCGATTATAGCAAACGAACTTAATGAGATTTATGAGATTATTTCCTCATTCTCAGAGAAATCAAAGCGCAGTAACACTGACGGCATAGTATCCCCAAAAAACCAATAACTCTTTTAGTTCGTTACCAGGACTCGAACCCAGACACTTAATATCTGCAACCGCTTAAATTAGTCAGTAATTGGCGATCGAAGTGGAACTAGGGGCGGGACTAGGGGGCGGGAACGAGGGGGGGGGGGATAAATATGATTATACTTCTCTACACAATATGGAATATCCGAGTGATTTAAATAGAGATAATTTTTTTTATAATCTTTATTCCTTCTGAATTAAGCTTATATGAATATTTTTTAAATAATTTCTTTTTTTTAAGAAAATAATTATTACTTAAAACGTGTAAATATACGTAAGAAATTCAAATTAGTTAAAACGCAACGCCATTGGTTAGACCGAAAGTAACATCAAAGTCTATTACAGCGCTGTTGTTTGGCGTTTACGATTTGTACTCTAAACAATCTAGATCTGTTCATTCACTGATTGCAATGTGGTCATAGACTATGACGTCACGCCAAGTGCGCCAAAATGGTGGGCATATTTTAAAGTGTCCGTTTCAGTATGATATTTTTAAATGCTTTGTTTATATTAAATTTTAGTTCTTTAAAGCTGGATATATTTTACAAATTATTACATAACGATGTAAGCTATTGTACAAAAACATACTCGAATAAAATATGTAGACCTGGGTATTTCTCCGAGATTGCGTTCTTCATCTGATTTATCTGGCCAAAAATTATTTTCATTTTTGGCTCTATTCAACATACTCTTATGATTAAAGACATGCAAATAATATTTGACATGTCTTTAATCATAAGAGTACCTATGTTACATAGAGCCAAAAATGAAAATATTTTTTGGCCAGATAAATCAGACGAAGGACGCAATCTCGGAGAAATACCCAGCCTGTACTTTAAGACGACGGTGTAAGAGATTTACCAGTTATAGGTGCGATACCTACAGGATAATGAGTATTAAGTACTCATATAAGTCCCTTAATATAAGCCTGACAACTTGAATAAACACCTATACAAAACTAAAATTTTTCAAATATTAATCTAACTATTGACTTCTGGTATATTGTTTGTACAGTGTAATCTCTTTATAACGTCGCTCGTGATAAATATAATATGTTGGGACATTAACACAGCACTATCTAGTTCACGGTAAGCTGCGAGGCTTGTGTTATGGATACCAGATATTTGATACACTAAACATATATAACTTAAATACATACATACATCTAAATATACTTATAAATATGACGGAATGACGAAAAACTTCTTTAATCATAGAAATTACATCAATTTAGTTGGTTTACTTTAAAATCCATACATTGATACACCCCTCATAGCACAATACGTCCATATTTAGACGTCAGTATTAATATACGTCGTATCAAAAATACGCAAAAATAAAACAAAAATGGTGAAAAAGACGAACCTGAACCACCTACTGCTCAACAAGCACTTGATGGTGCCAAGCGAATAGAATTCTTATTATTTCATAAGAATGATCCCACCACATCCCAAGACATATATAAAGTACAAAACAAATACTGGCATATCAAAAAAAACGTTACGTGAAGTTAACAGACTAATATGTATGTATTTAAAATAACTTAACTGCCTACCTATTGAAATACAAAATTGTAATTTTTTTGTGATTATTGAAATTTGATTATTTTTCTTCCTTCACTCAATAACGATATAGCGAAAACTCCCTAAAAGAATAACGTGTTAGGTCCCTTTTCGTTACAAATAGTTTACACTGTATTTATTTTTAGTTTCCTATAGCTTTATCGAATGGGAAACTTCATCATACAATAATATTACTTAGATGATCATAATATTATTCGTAGATCGAACATTGTTTGAACAGGGATAAAGTCAAAGCGTACCAGTTCTTAAGTTTAAAGTGCAAAATTTGCAATTCAAAATTCATGTTTTCCCAAAATATTTAATATAGGTACTATAGTGGAAATTGTTAAATGTTAATCTACCTATACGTATAATAAAATTGTAACAAAGCCGAATCTGTACATTAAATATTTTTTTGAAAATCTTATTGAAATAGACATTATTATCGATACAGAGGCCGAATCTACAGTTTTTAGAATGTTTGTCTGTCTGTCTGTCTGTTACCGCATCACAGAAAAATCACTGGAGGGATTTTGACGAAATTTGGTATGGTGATAGCTGTTTATCCGGGTCAACATATAGGATACTTTTTACCGCGGAAAAATATTTTATTTCTGAGAAAAAATGCAAAATCTGCAAAGTAAGAGTATACTAATATGTAAAACCTAAGAATCTGGTTTTCGGTCATCTGAACGCGGGCGGAGCCGTGAGCAATGCTAGTATGAAATATTTATGATGCGTTAATATTTAAATACTCTCAATTTAACTTTTAGAGACAACTGTCCCGCAGAAAACCTTATTTTTCTCATTTTAGATTGTAATATTTTTAATGAACATGAAAATGGGAAAAAAAAATTCCGTTTTCTTTTTTAATTTAGTACGTTCCTAGTTCTCTCCGAAAAGTTAATTGAAATGAAACCGACTTGTGAATTGAGGTATTAATATTTACAATTTATTAAAAAAGTCTAATAATCAGTTCTGCAATATATACTATCGCTAAACTAATGAAATTATTACGTTAATTATAAATATTAATTGAAACTTAGATATGTGGTTCAAAAATATTTCTTTACATTAAGTTTTTACGCTATAAAAAATCAGGCTTTAAAATCCAATTCTAACGTATTTGGTTTGTCAAATCAAACAAAACAAGCCCAAACTCAAAGTACCAACTAGTACCCGTTGAAGAGATCCAACTATCCACCTTCTGGCCTTACCATCAGATCAGGTTGACGATACTAAATTACTACATTATCAACGGCAATAGAAATACTTGTAAAATTTCAAGTCAATATGACAATAAGAAGTAGGTTAAATTTTTAAATTAGCTATTTTTCCACCTTTAGCGGTGGTATTTTTTTTAAATTGAGAACCTCCTACTTTGTGAAGTCGGTTGAAAAGAATAATATTATCAAATCCAGTTAATCCGATACATAAGTCTACTTTCACTGATTTTGTAAACAATGTATTTAAGAATAAATCAATATGTTGGGACATTAACATACAACACTATCTAGTTCCGTCGTATGCTACCAGGCTTCTGTTATGGATACTAGATAGTTGATACACTACACATATATAACTTTAAATACATATATATTATAAATACAAACACACATGACTGGAGTACACACATTCGTGCTCTTCACACATATGAATGCCCCCAACCCCCAGCGAGATTCGAATCCGCGACCGCTAGCACAGCAAGTAGGATCACTACAAACTAAGCCAAACGTATCTTCAAAAACAATATTACTCATATGCTGGTAAATATAAACACACTGCTTATTTTAAATTGGAAGCCACTGCACATAATTGGAATTTACAAACTATGTTTATGATTTACTGAAAGCCTTTATATACAAATTATACGAGTTATGTATAATTAATGAATCAAACTTGCTTAATATTCTTAGCATGTATACTATTATACTGTGAAGATAGTACGTCTCTGTCAATTACCTGTACAGGTAAAGCTATCCTTATAACATTACCGCATATTATTTGCATGTATATTGTATATGTTATATACAAGTAGATAGGTGCAACCGTTACACTCAAAGCTCACAATAAATAGCTATAAATTCTTCTTCTAATTCTTTTTTCTGTTTTTATTATACATTTTTTTAGTTTTTACTTATGTCTAACTGTTGTTGTATAATCCATTACAGATATAATATAAAAGAAAAGACAAAAAAATAAAGTAAGCAATGATTTGATCCTTGAAGAATGGAAATTTTAAAGATTATATTGAAATGACAAATTGAATATCTATACATATAATAAAATTGAATATAAGTCGAATCTGTACATTAAATATTTTTTTGGAAAATCTAATTGAAATTCGAAAAAATAAATTGAATCGGGCGGAGTTAGTATTTAATAAATTAAACATAACATGTTATAGAATGATATAATGTCGTTGGCATATTTTAATAAACCTACCAAATTCCCGTGTCGCGATGTTGGTCCGCGATGAACGCCGAAATCACTTATCTGAAGTTAACGTAACTTTTTTTTAAATGTGAGATTTGTCCCAACTTAAAAGATAGTATAGTTTTATCCCGATTATTTTTTTTTTATTGGAAAAGTAACAATTTTCATATGTGTGCAACAGTAACGCATGATCGAGTCTGCTAGTGCTTTTATAGATTTGTATTCTTCAATGATTATAGAATGACACCAAAGATTACCTTATTTCTTTGATTTTTTTATTATTATTATTATTTCTGACTGTTGTGTATTATATAGATTATAAGACATTACAGATATACCTATATTTTTTTCACAACAACTTTTTTCGGTTTTATGCGACAATTATTCAACTTAATAAAACAAATATAATTAAACTTAGTAATAATATCAAAAAGAAGAGAAAAATATTTATAACAATTTTATTCCTTGGAGCTGTTAAAGTAATTTTAAAAGTTTCTTTTTATTAATATAAAGCTTCGGTAATCTTGATTTCATGAGTAACATAGGTTATTAGACACGGGCGTTAGTTAGCTTATCTTGTTAAAATGAAAACGTGGTATTTGAAACTATCTAAACGTATCGATCTAAGTTCAGCAAATACTACGAGTACACATGTACGAATGTACATTTAATTCAAAGAAATGCGGTACCGATATTATACGTTCATTTTCTTTAAAAAATATTATTAATATAAAATCTATTTTTTTGATTTAGTCCGATTAAAAAGTATTTAAAAAAATGTTTTATAAGTAAAATTATTTGCATCCATGGCTTTTTTACTTATAATATATGTATATTTTGAATTGATTTATTAAGTGTAATTAACAATAAAATAATAACTAACCATAGAAGACTTGTAATTTAGGAAACTAAAAAAACTTCTAAGAATGTGTTAGATTAAGAGATTATAAAAGTGTGAATTTTCGTTTTCTTTTAAATTGTTGAGACACTTACCAACAATATCTAAGAAGCCGAGTTGACTCTTCATGGGATCCGTGTTGATCTGACACATGTACCATCCTCTATCCGTCTCCCGAAGTTCCCGGATGTGCAGAAACCAGGTCCTTTGGTCACTATGCGTGACACCCACGCGTCTGCTCCGAGATATTACGTGAGTGTGGATAGTTAGAATTGTCTGCGTATCCACTCTTAGCCAGGCGACCTGTTTTATATAAATAATTACTAACGCCTTCACGTTTTTTTTTTGGAGAATACAGAATTTTGTGAAGAGAAGAAAACAGATTGAGAAAAATATAGAACGGAATCGTTATAAGCGTTCTTATAAAGTTAAATATTGTTTTCAAAACCTTTTATACATATTTATAATATGAAAATTCATATTTCTTACTGTACGATAAAAAACTTTTACAAATACTCAACTGTTTGTAATAAAATTAAATAACTCAGTACTATCCTAAGTTCGGTGGAAAATTCGTAACGGAATATTTAGTCAGTAATTTTTCTTTACCCATCACAAGTGTTATAACACAAAGTTTTGCAATAATTAATATATGTTATATAATAAAATCTACGCATCTATGTTGTTTGCATTTATCTACGTATTTAATTTATACTTTATTATACTTTCTTACATTTACGAGAATATTTAACATTTTTAACACCGATCAATTTTTTCGGTTTATTTTGATTTTTGGTTCCCAGCGTTTCGAATGCTTTACAGCAATCATGATCACAGAGAGACTGATTTCAATATGTTTTAATTAATTTCATCAACACGAAAGTGTATTCTTACATCTAATTCTTCTTTAATCGCTTAGAATTGCAATTTTAGAAATTTTAGTCTATGTAAGCTTCATTGCCTTTTAGCATTAACTACTGATAAAATAATTATAATATATGAAAGAGGAATACAATTAAAATGCTAATACCAAGGTTATTGAAATAAGTTAGAACAAAATATCTTATCTTAGCACCATAATTTAAATAAAGAATAAATATGAGCGCAGTATGATGTATCACTTGGGCAACGGAATATACATGGCTGGGATTTTTTAAGGTATGCGGAAATCCGTAGCACGCCCTCCTTCGCCATGATAAATGACTATATAAAATATTTTCATTAACATAAATTGCATACGCATAAAAATGAACATCACTGTAATAGAGTCGGATATCGCAGGTTCGATGCCCATACAGAATTAGTGTGTTTGACCTATAAATGTTTGTCCTATTTTTGTTTCAACGAGGTTTTTAAATGTGGGATATTTGAGCTCGTAGAGGCTTACTAGTTGATCATAGAAAGTTCACGGCAGGTTTTATTTGAATGATATATTCTCACTTCGTTCTAAATATATGAAGAAGATGCTGATTAAAAAAATAAGAAGACTGTGAGTAATTTCTATACTATTCGCTGGATTTCTAAGATAAATCACCGTTAACTAAAACTCAGTATTTCAATGCTGACAGAATGAATGCGAATTGCAAACGGGACGATGTTTTAACAAATTCATGACTTTTTACTGGTTTATTAAGTTCTCTACATTTTATTTCATTGAAAAGTACTAAGTTGATCAAAATTCAAAACGAAAATCTTTAAAATTACTTCATATTCACTCTATCACTTAATAATCAATACAGAAAGTAGAAAAAAACGCTTACTGTACTAGACATCTATTGAAATCCAAAGTCATTTTTTTTAATGTACCGCCCAAAAATATACGAGTATGTTACATTTTAATCAGATACAGCATCTAACGCCATAATCTTAAAGTACATTTCATCTCTCTATAAACAAGTTTAGTTTCTCCAGAACTTGGTAAAAATCGATTATGACATTTCTGCGATAAGCCCACAATCACGTACAGAAAAATTAACTTATAGCTACCATATACGAATTCAGAAATAGGAAAAAACTTTTCATCTATATAAAACAAAGTCGGTTTAGTTTCACTATTTATAACTTATGAACGGCTGGACCGATTTTTATGATCTTTGATTTGTTGGATTGGTCTTCGCCCCGAATAGCAGAATAACTAATAAAACATCGGAAAAAATCATAAAAAAATATTAACACGGCTAACGCTGACTAATAACTATTTATCTATACTTATAATAAATCTGTAGAGAGGTCAATTCTGTACATGAAATATATTTCCAAAATAACTATCAGGGGGTGATTAGGGATCGATACTGATGCCAAAAATACAATCAGTAAAATTTTTGTCTGTCTGTCTGTATAACCGTTATAGAAACAAAAACTACTCGACGGATTTTAACGAAACTTGGTACAATTATTGTTCATACTCCTGAGCTGGTTATAGTATACTTTTCATCACGCTACAATCAATAGGAGCAGAGCAGTGAAGGGAAATTTTGGGAAAATGGGAGAAGTTACTCCATTTTTTAAGTTTCCGTCGCATGTGCAACCTTAATGGTTAAAGCTACACGGAAATCATGTATGACGGAAATGTTTTCCTTAAAATTATATAAAAAATATCCCACGACAGCATATGTCTATCTTTTATGGTTGACTCACAATAACACGTGTAACTCCTGATAGCTTAGCAGTTCGAAGCTTTCCGATTTATATTTGTCTACTCTTACGTTTATAACAATCTCAGTCATCCCTAATTAAAAAAGTTAACATTATAAACTATTTTATAAAAAAGAATCATAGAAATCGGTATAGAAACACCAAAGTTATACATGAAATACGCTAATAATAAGCCATCGCGAGTCAGGGGGATGTAAGAAGACAAATAGAACAAATCCAGATTTTTTCAATTTTTTTGTTTCTCTGTCTGTTTGTCTGTTTGTACGGGCTAATCTCCGAATCTATTGGACCGATTTACATGAAATTTTGCATGGTGGTACCTTATATCCCCGGACAACGTCTTAGATATTTTTTATCCCGGAAAATTAAATGATTCCCGTGGGATAGTTAAAAAACTATTATAACTTATACAACTTATGCACCTAATTTAGTAAAATTTAACATTCTGATACCATAACATATTGCCGGTCAAACAACAGGTTACTTTTTATCCGGGAAAAATGAACGGTTCCCGTGGGAACTAATAGATTTCTATTAGTGTTTTTCTAGAGGCGAACCCGAGCGAAGCGAGGTTGAGCCGCTAGTATCTATTTAAAACGTATGGGACGCACCCAAGCAAAGCCGGGTAAGTCGCTAGTTTATATATTAACTTATCTATTCAGAAAGTTATTTTTATAAAGACCTGTCAGATCGTTGTTCAGTAGCTGATCCTTTAAGTTGTTACTGTGACAACATGAAGTTTAAGTCTGTTTGCATATAATCTGTATTCTCTCCAACGTACTCGTTCAACATATTATTAAAGCCTCGCTAGTGAATTTGAGATGCAAGTTAAGATGTTAGGAACAAGTGTGTACTTAAGATACTCTTATTGAGTGAACTTAAGCATAAAAAGCTAGTAAGACTACTAGATAATCGAATTATGAAAGGGTTTTGAAAAAGTTTAAGCTGACACAGCTAACATTACTTGTTCCTCTGTTGCCTTTCTTCGTGACAGTTTCTTAGAAAGGCTCATTAGCATCTAGAATCCAAGAAAGAAACTACGCTAACAAAGTGCGTGTAATCTCCATACACACATACATATGTTTACACACCATTGATCGAGACATCAATTTATAATTTAACGCTTAGAAAGCATCAGAATAGAACGCTCTATCTATATAGATTGATTGGTTGAATCTATTGAACAATAACCATTTATTGTAATCTACTTGTATGATGTATGAAATGAGAACATGTCAATAAATAACTTTTTAACTAAAATTGTACACTTAATTTCAATTCACTTGTGTATTTTACCCTTTAGACAATGATTTTTTTTTACCGATGCCCTGACCTAATTGCTTACTTGATTATATGTAAAGGTTGTTCCAAATAAGATGTATTTCTATATACGTATTCATTAAAAAAACATAAATAGAACATCCTCCTTTTTGACAGTCGGTTAAAAATCACAAATTATTTGAAAATATATCTCATTGCATGCACAAAAAATCATACACAAACTAAAAATATTTCTCGATATGACATTCAGACAAACATATGACCGTTTCTTTATAGTTAACCACACAAAACGTACCTAAGCTTCATTACGATCCAAAAATAAATCTTAGGCTTTTCTAATATACTTAGCACCTAATATATCTATATAACTTAAAATACACAATCGTGTATGTATCGAACTGAATATAAATAGTGGGTGCAAAATCCACTAGAACTGGTACAAAATCAATGAATGCTGCGGGAGAGCTAACAGGCGACATTAAAATTAAATTAAATCTGTGATATTATTAGAATACGAGCTTGGTTATTAGCTCGTGTACATATTTAATGTCTATTCTATGTATACTTGTCTGTAATTAAAGTTGAATGAAGAATGAAGTTACGTCTCTGTGATTTTAAAATAGATACTTCATATTTAGCACATATAGCTAATTGGATACTCATGTCTAGACTCTAGACCATATTAAAAAAAATGTTTGTCAGTCTGTGTCTGGTTGTACCCAATAATCACTGGCTGATCTGTTTTAGTGGAAGATTTACTGATGTATAAAAGGAAGATTTCAGATGAAAAGAGCATAAGCTAACTTTTATCCTGTCGAAAGAGAAATGTCTTTTTGGGATAGAGGATGAAAGTTTTATGATTAAGTTGCTAAGAAATCGAGTGGCTATCATGGATAAGTGGCTAGTTGATAAATAAATTATATAATACTAGTGCCGTACACTTGCTTCGCTCGGGTACGTCTCTAGGATAGGTTATAATATTCTCAAGCCCTCCAACTATCTCCACACAAAAATCTGGTCAATCCGTCACGCTGTTTTGACGTGAAAAAAAGGACAAACAAACAAACACATTTTCACATTTATAATATTAAGTATGGAAGTATGGATATAATAAAGTTCGAAAATATAGTTTTATTTTAAACATTGCTAAGTTAAAAACCAAAGATACGTTTGAATTTCCCGGACTATACGATACGATACAATATACGGCCTTTAGAAACGCTCACGCACGTGTTACCTATCAAACAAAAGCAAATATTGATGGCCAGTTATAATACATAAAAAAATGCTATATATTCCTATGTATATTTATAAAAGCAGATATAGCCAATTTCTAATTATAACATTTCTAACTTATCTTGAATAGAACTCAGTATATACCTATTCTTCTTTTACACGCACATATATACAATATGTAGTGATTATTTTCTGTATTATATTATAACAAAGCATCCATTTAACATTCTACGAGTAAGCAATTGTTGGAAATGGGTTTAACAATAAATGCTAAGTTTCCTGTGAATGCAGAGTAAACACCACCCACAATACCGTATCGGGCTTCAATATGGCTAATAATGAGCACCTTGTATGAGGAGAGATTATGTACTGTACACGCCAATATCGCCTCCCTGCCTAAAGGCGCTGTCACATTCTCTATAGGTCCACTGAAGCCTGGTTCATCTGGGAACAAACAAAATATAAATACATAACCGGTTAATTGAAATTTAATGTAACGCTCAGAGATTTAATATTTTCCTGCAGTAAAAAGTACCCTATGTTGCCCCGATAACCAACTATCATAATGCCAAATTTCATCAAAATTTGTCTAGTAGTTTTCTCGCGATGCGGTCACAGAAAAATTCTAAAAACTATAGATTCGGCCTCCGTATCAATAAAAATTACTATTTCAATAAGATTTTCCAAAAAAATATTTAATACACAGATTGTACTCAGTTACAATTTTATTATATGTATAGATGATGAAATTTAATTTTGGGAAATTGTGAATTTATTTGTTAAAGAACAATGTCATGTGGTAGTCAAAAGAGTGTTAATGATGCCGATTTCGTAAATTGTACTTCTTTGAAATTCTAGCCCATTAATATATTATAATTGTAGATATTAATTAAATAAAATTATTAGAAGACGGAGTTCAACCTTAACCAAATGCCAAGCCGCAAGCAGAACCTATTAATTATAATATACGCGTAGGAGTATGTTAGTTATTTTAGTAAGATTACATCTTACATATAGAAATAAAATAACTTGAATGTTTAAAAACGATATCAGAAACATTGTTTTTTAAACTGTAAATGTGAAGTTGGTTTGGATCAAATTTTATACCAATTTTATACAATTTTATTATATGTATAGATTATATTATTTTTGCTGTCTACAGTATATATATAGTGTCATTTTGAATTTACTGAAAACCTTTTGGGAATACACTATTTACAACATAACAACAACATCTATAAGAAAAAAAAATATATCTTAAATTTATCAAAAATAAAAAATAAATTATTGTACCTTCTCAACGGTAATAGTCCAACATTAGCAAAAGAAAGTGCTTGTCCGGTGGAGGGGGAGGGGTGGAGGGTTGTAGGAAACCTTAGTCATTTAAACTTGGCCAGAAGCGCTTAGTCATTTAAACTTGGCCAGATGCTAGAACTTCAAAGTTTAGAAGGTGCAAAAAAAAATATTTTTATTTTTGTATGAAAATAAAAATTTAAGAAATATTATTTTTTCTTGTTACAGATGTTGTTGTTATGATGTAAATAGTATATTCCCAAAAGGTTTTCAGTAAATTAAATATACATATATATATATATATATATATATATATATATATATATATATATATATATCGAGGATCAAGCAACTATTGGCTAAAATAAAAAAGTGGCCTAAAACATCTACATAATTTTAAAGACCTATTAAAAAAACCTTACTAACACTTAATTTCTTCAAGCCTCAGTTACTTTTTTTTTTTAACGTTGGGAAATGCATTTACGCACGACGTGTGGGACTCACCGGCGTAATACAGCCAGTACTACCCACTAAAACCCAACAAAACCTTCCCCCGTCTTAGTGGGGCGTCGCAGGATCGCTTACGCATTCAACTACGACGCCCCGACGGCAGGTCTGCCACAGCAGACCACCACAACCATGGGGTTGCTCCAAGGTCCACTCTGCTATCAGAGAAGTACCAGGAGCAACCCGCAAGGTACACCGCCCCCCGAAGAGGGCCACCTCCCACCGCCCACCGAAGTGGGCAACCTCCCTGTGCGTTTCTTAGCTTCGCTACTACTACTGAGCCCCCCCACCACGACAAGGTGAACGCACGTTGGGGGGGAAGCCTCAGTTACTTGTATCAAGTGCCACTTATTTTTTCTTAGCATTTCAAAAGTGTCCAAGTAAAATAGCTGTGATATAGCGACAGACTGGTTTAAACAAATCTATTATTAATTTTAAAATTGGCTAAAATGATATGACCCAGCAGAAATTATACAGATAACTCAGAACAAAAATGGATTTTCTGGAATTTTGTGGAACGAACATAACCCGGTCCCGTGGGAAAGCGGCACTCTCAATACCATCCACTTAAACGTATTGCTTATAAGTTAGAAATAATAAACAATGAAGTAAAACAAATCAAAGTTAACGGTACAAGGTTACGTAAACCGAAAATTAATATACAAAATTAATTCAGACTCTAATAAAGCCAACAATTTGGAAACTATCTATACAAATATACAAATATAGTATACAAATAAATAAAATTAAAAAGTCTGTTTGTAAAACTAAATGGATTGTTTTACTAAATGGGCATAAAAATATATACGGTACTTATACGAAAAAACATTCTTTTTTTATTTTTGCCTGTCTGTCTGTATGTCTGTTTGTTCAGGCTAATCTCTGAAACGGCTAAACCGCTTTCACTGGCAGGTAACTGATGTTATAAGGTGTTATTTAGGCTACTTTATTTATTAAAAAAAGAATTAGAGTTTCGCACATAAAAATTAAAACCTATGAAATTGTGAAGAAAATCCACTTACTTACCTAGGGATTCACATGAGCGAATAGCAATAATAATAATACACATTGTATTAGGTTTGCAGTTCTGTGAATAATAACATAATTTAGTTTTAAATCTATGTGTATATTTTAAAGTTTTAAAAGTAAAAGGTTGCATCGATTTTGTAATATTACGAACAATAAAAGTTTCTTAAACATGTTTTATCGGAATGTTATGAAGTAAAAGAGCGTATTAGTACTGTAATGTTTGTTTTCAAGCCTCTCGAGAATAGCGCAGGAAAATGTGATATAAAATGTAACTTTACCTTATTGTTCTTTAAATAAAAATAAATATCTCATATCTTGTGTCTGGGACAAGATTATTCAAGGGTAGTTATGTCGATACATCGAGATATAACCTTATAATATTTCTTCTTATTCTATACTAGCGGCTCACCCTCGCTTCGCTCGGGTTCGTCGCTAGGTACGTTTTAAATAGATATAAAAAGAAAAAATCTTTCTTTCTCACATTTTAATTATATGTTTTAATACTTACCTATTCCGGACTAAGAGAAATCCAAAAATTAAAATATCATAAAAATTGGAACGCGGTCGAACGGGATAAAAAGTATCCTATGTCCTTCTCCTGGCTCTAAACTACCTCCCTGCCAATTTTCAGCTAAATCGGTTCAGCCGTTCTTGAGTTATAAGCGAAGTAACTAACACGACTTTCTTTTATATATATAGATGATACATTGTTACTGATTTCATCTGGGTATTTATTAAATTAAAACCCATCAATCTTTCTGTTAGTACACAAATGTTGCTTGACGATTTGTAGAGCTTTGTATTAAAACTAAAAATTTAAAGAAATTTTCAATTATTTTTGTTTATCCTTTATCTACACTGAGTCAGGGCAATGGAATTGATTGACGTTGAGTATTATTCATATAATTATTACATAGCTTACAGAGTGGCATGGGCTACTTTTTATGCCAGTAAATCCAATTACTGTCACGAGATTTTATTATTAGATATTTTGAAAATGTAGTAAATATTGGAAACGCAGTATCTTAAATCAATTATAATTTTATAAAAAAATATAATAGATTTAAGATGAAATAAGAGTAACAATAAAAAATATTAATAAATCGTGAACATGTGATTTACTAATTCGATTTCGGAATCCGTTTTCCTTTGTGTACCTGAATGCACTCATGTCACACAAAGTGTTTACAAGCAGCGTACCCTCACTTCGCTCAAGTGCGTACTTATTCATTAACCATTACAACATGAAAAACATACATACATACATAGACTGATAAACACATTACCCTCCTTGGCTTCGCGCAGTCGGATAAAATAGGACAAACACACACGTACAAGCTTTCGCACTTATAATATAGGTTATAGAATATAGATGTACGAAATCAATTTCTGGCATTCATTGCGGTAAATAAAAGCATTTAAATGAATTATATCAATATTTTATATACATACATATACATATAGCAGGAAATCTATTCCTGACTAGCTCATTACAAGATTGCTGGGATTTTCCGACTTACTTTTTAGTAGACATGTTCTTTTACTGACTGTTAGAGATCCGCTAAGAACGGATTTTAAGTAAAAATCGATTCCCAAGAGGAGTTACGCGGGTGGTATAAAACCATTTTTAATATTTATAGTTTTCACAAAATTATTCCAATATTTCAAGCCATGGAAGTTTACGGTTTAGTTTTTTTTTATATTTATTATTAAATTGAATTTATTTTAAATAATAGCTTGTACAATATTATATTATGTCCTTCATTAAACATCGATAGTAGCTCGAAAACATACATGGGTAATTTTACATACAACAACAAAACTAACGTGTAATTGTTTCTTTGTCACTCTTGCATTTTACTATTTTACAAAAAGGTATCCAATTATTTTTCGATAAACTCGCTCAGCCAAAAATTATTGGTCGAGTTGAATTGATAATAAATTGTGCTATTTTATGGAAAAAATATTATTGTTTGGGGAAAGTTTTTAATTTGCATAAAAAATATATTTAATTACTAGCGACTCAACCTCGCTTCTCGGTTTCGTCTCTAGCTTGATTCCCCATACAAATTTTCATCTCTATTTTCACCCCATTAAGGAATGATTTCTGGCATGAAAAGTATCCTATGTCCTCCCCAGGGTCTCAAACTATCTTCTTACCAAATTTTATCTAAATCAATTCAGTAGATCCAAAGATTACCCCCTACAACGTCACAAACTCACAGACTTTACCTTTTTGTAATATTAGTATATATTATAATTATGAACCAATGTTATATATTATTATAAAAGCTGTTTTTTCCTCAATTGATAATATATAAATAAATAATTTTAAGTGGAGTCTACTTATAAAATATACAACAATAATTATTATTCGCAAAATACACTGCCTAAATATACGTGTATATATTTACACCTCTCAATAATATGTTATATTAAAAAAAACTCAAATTCTTTAAACATTAAACAATTCAATATCTTTAACATTATTTACAGATTATAAGTTCTTTCCGGAAACAATGAATACTCAGTTTTCTGATTAATATTTCTGATAAATATTTGACCTAATATTGAAATAATCACTGTATTTTTACAGCTCTATTTAATTGATCAGT